AGGTGTTAACATTGGATAGAGACAGTTTAACAGTAATTGGTTTATCTATAGCATTAATGATAAAGGTATATACATTGCAGACAGTTTAGCAGAAATTGGCTGATTCATATCAGTGATGATATAGGTGTTAACATTGGAAAGAGACAATTTACCAGTAATTGGCTTATATATAGCATTACTGATATAGGTATAAACATTGGAGACAGTTTACCAGTAATTGGTTGATTGATAGCAGTGTTGATATACATGTAAACATAGGGAAGAGACAGTTTACCAGTCATTGGTTGATATATAGCATTACTGATATAGGTATAAACATTGAAGACAGTTTACCAGTAACTGGTTGATTTATAGCAGTGATGCAATGATGGTATATGTGTTAACATTGGGTAGAGACAGTTTAACAGTAATTACTTGATATATAGCATTGATGATGTAGGTGTTAACATTGGATAGAGACAGTTTAACAGTAATTGGTTTATCTATAGCATTAATGATAAAGGTATATACATTGCAGACAGTTTAGCAGAAATTGGCTGATTCATATCAGTGATGATATAGGTGTTAACATTGGAAAGAGACAATTTACCAGTAATTGGCTTATATATAGCATTACTGATATAGGTATAAACATTGGAGACAGTTTACCAATACTTGGTTGATTTATAGCAGTGATGATATAGATGTTAACATTGGATAGAGATAGTTTACCAGTTATTAGTTTATATATAGCATTGATGATATAGGTGTTAAAATTGGAAAGAGACAATTTACCAGTAATTGGCTTATATATAGCATTGATGATATTGGTGTTAACACTGGAGACAGTTTACCAGTAATTGGTTGATTGATAGCAGTTTTGATATACGTGTAAACATAGGGAAGAGACAGTTTACCAGTCATTGGTTTATATATAGCATAAGGGATATAGGTATCAACATTGGAGACAGTTTAACAGTAATTAGTTGATTCATAGCAGTGATGATGTAGGTGTTAACATTGGGAAGAGACAGTTTGCCAGTAACTGGTTGATTTATAGCAGTGATACAATGATGGTATATGTGTTAACATTGGTTAGAGACAGTTTAACATTAATTGCTTGATATATAGCATTGATGATATAGGTGTTAACATTAGATAGAGACAGTTTAACAATAAATGGTATATAGCATTAATGATATGGGTATAAACATTGGAGACAGTTTACCAGTAATTGGCCGATTCATATCAGTGATGATATAGGTGTTAACATTGGAAAGAGACAATTTACCAGTAATTGGCTTATATATAGCATTACTGATATGGGTATAAACATTGGAGACAGTTTAACAGTAATTGGTTGATTTATAGCATTGATAATATAGGTGTAAACATTGGATAGAGACAGTTTACCAATAATTTGTTTATATATAGCATTGCTGATATAGGTGTAAACATTTGGTAGAGACACTTTACCAGTAATTCGTTTATATATAGCATTGATGATATTGGTGTTAACATTGGGTAGAGACAGTTTACCAGTAATTTGTTGATATATAGCAGTGATGATATAGGTGTTATCATTGGATAGAGATAGTTTACCAGTTATTAGTTTATATATAGCATTTATGATATAGGTGTTAACATTGGGTAGATACAGTTTACCAGTTATTGGTTTATCTATAGCATTAATGATAAAGGTATATACATTGGAGACAGTTTACCAGTAACTGGCTGATTCATATCAGTGATGATATAGGTGTTAACATTGGAAAGAGACAATTTACCAGTAGTTGGCTTATATATAGCATTACTGATATAGGTATAAACATTGGAGACAGTTTACCAGTAATTGGTTGATTGATAGCAGTGTTGATATTCATGTAAACATAGGGAAGAGACAGTTTACCAGTCATTGGTTGATATATAGCATTACTGATATTGGTATAAACATTGAAGACAGTTTACCAGTAACTGGTTGATTTATAGCAGTAATGCAATGATGGTATATATGTTAACATTGGGTAGAGACAGTTTAACAGTAATTGGTTGATATATAGCATTGATAATATAGGTATAAACATTTAAAACAGTTTACCAGTAATTGGTTAATTTATATCATTGATGATATACGTGAAAATATTGGAGACAGTTTTCCAGTATTTGGTGGATTTATAGCAGTGATGCAATGATGGTATATGTGTTAACATGTAACATTGGGTAGAGACAGTTTAACAGTAATTGGTTGATATATAGCATTGATGATATAGGTATAAACATTGAAGACAGTGTACCAGTAACTGG